CCTTGATCCGACGTGATCTTGTTTATGAGATGACTGTTTGTGGGGACTTACCTGATTTTGCTGTGAGCATATTGTGTTTAGCTAAAGTAGTGCGTTTCTGTTCACAGTGGAAGCTGGTAGGGGTTCTCTGCCATTTTTGTTGTAAACTGTTTTCTCCTGTTTTGTGGTTAAGCCAGGGAGTTCGGGTTTTGTATTTTCTTTCAGTTCTCCTTGTTTGTCATTACGCAATAGTCAGCCCCGCCCTTATCTCACCAATGGCTCGACTGACTACTGACCAGTTCTCTATCTAACAGGTCCGGAAAATCTCTAAACCCGGGTCTTACCCCAACGTCGGTTTATATGAGATATTCTATTTAAACTGGTGTCGGAAAAGACGCGTCTAGCTCTAACTACCTACAATCCAGAAGTTATGACCCTTTTCAGTTGAGAAACAGTCAGCAGAGTAGCTCTCACTGCTGCGTAGCTTCAACAACCACTCCTGTTAACGGTAGCTCTTTTCCTAAAATAACGGCACTTGTTTACGGCTAGATTAGATTTAGTGACTTAGAATTAAGTCCCAGGGTCATTATTTTCACACTCACCAAAGGAAAGTACGAAGCCACCACATCTCTAGAATCATGTACGCTAATTTTACTGTAATCAGGGGAAACTACAATGATCAGATAACTCAATTAATCTCAATGTCCACAAGTTTCATTGGAATTTTTGGTATGTAATTTATTAAGCAAACTTTAGCAGGAATACATGACAAGCAGGTTAAATTTCAGAGATTACAAATTTGTAGTAGGACAATAAATTCAACTTAAATCAATCACAACCTATTTTCATTTCTATCCCTATCCTGTGTCACTAGTTTAACTAAGCGAGGCTTTTGGGGGGCAGTTCAACTCACACCCAGATGGCAATTGATCCCGGCAGGAGAAAACTTCAGATGTCCTTGGTCAGAGTCTTTGTCCTGACGTGGCAAAGTCCTCTTTCAGAATAGAAGCAAAGCAGAACTGTCCATTGTCTTTCAAACGCATAGAATCTTCGTCAATCAGTGACCTTTGTCTTTTCTCCTAGTCTGCTGCAGTACAATAGGGATCGTTGGGTTGAGACAGAGGTGTAGGTCGAAACAGGAACCAGGGCTGGGGGCAGATGGATCTTGTCCCTTCTTAGCGGCGTGAAGTCTCAGCTTCCCCTCAGTTCCAGGGTGCGGTCCTCTGCTGGTCTTCAATCTGCATCCTCTTGTTGGCTCTCCTTCGGCGCCGCGGACAAAGAACAGTCTCTTCCCTTGTCTGCTGGTTTTTAAACCCTCTCAGCCCATGGTTGTGTATGAGAGAGGTCTACGTGACTTCTGGAACATTCTGATGAGTCGGTGGAAAGCCCCAACCTTTTCCAACCATCATCTCTTTCGTGACTCATTGCAGCAACTCTCTTCAGTACTTCCCTTTTTCTGCTGGCCATCTGGCCATCACTTCCTTTTTTGAGCCTCCCCAGCGCCTCCACCTGGTTGTGACACAGTCCGAGAACAGAACCTGTCTTCATTTCTCATGATCTCAAATCTTCAGTCATCACATTTCTTTAATTCATTATAAAACATAATTCTGTATAAAACATAAACAATTTGTCATTGTATCAACTTATAACTCTCAATATGATTCTTCATTATTTATCTATTCTGTAACTCAAGCTGTTACTGTTTCTAATCATCAATTATCATCATACACCACTTTAATAATCATCACACAACAATCAAATTGTTACTGTCATTCAGATCACAAATACAGAATATATATTTCAGATGTACATTACAGATTATTCCAACCATTATATATGTATGTATGTTTATTCATTTTTAATCATCATTAAATCAATATGCAAGATTAGTATTATTTCTCAGGCCTTTATGCTCCGTTTTCTGCGTGTACCTGGAAAGATCTCACACCCTTATGCCAGTTTTCACGACATCCTTTAGAAAGTGGTTTTTATTTTACAGTTAAAAGGGGGTGTTTTGTTTGTTGTTTTGGCCTTGGAGACCCTGAAGCTTAAAGCTTCCCTGTGTTTTGTTTCCTGTGGTTGAGATTTTACCTAAACTGTAAAATAAACTTTATTTTTGCTACTGACTATCAACTGTTTAGATTACTGATTTTGTGTTACACCCAGTGCCAAAATTTACCTTATTGATCTTGGGGAGGGGTTGTAACACTGGACACCAACTGTAGGTCTGCACCGCCCTCTCTTTGCTCATTACCTAGCTTTCATTCACTTGTTTCTCTAGATTACTACTGTTAATTTTTTAATGAACATTTTGAAACTTTTGGTAAGTGCTCCCGGATTACTCCTGTGTTTGTCTGGCAACCTGAGCATCAAAAGTTTCTAAATTTCTTGCTGAAGCTAATGAAAGAGAGAGAGAGTAGAGAAGGAAGGTGTTTGATCGATGGGTATTTGATTGATTAGTCTGAACAGATGGGATGACTGTGGACTGTCCATTCTCAAACTGATGTGGGCCACCGGTAATGAGCCTCTCTCCCAGAGCCAGATTCTGTGAGGCTAAATGGACTTGCCCAAACGTTTTGGGCTTTTAAAACATATAAATTCTGACTGAAGATTTTTGAAGCAACTAATAACTCTTTACAGGACTGTAATGGTCTCATTATTTCCAGTGCTACATCTGGTGCATTCAATCACACACCAAACACACAGACACCAGCACCCCCAGTGGGCTGCAATAAAGGTGCTGCTGATGAATATGATAATGAACCTAGGTTCTGTCTGCCGTCCATTGTCACTTGGTAATGAGTTTGTCCCCAAGGTCAATGCTATAATAGCTCATTAGCAGCACTGGCTAATACCGCGTTGTGATGTTTCTCACAGCTGCCGGAGGTGCAGCGGTCAGGCCGCCTATTTGTTTGCCATTTGGCTGAATTGCTACTTGACCGCTCTGTCTTTCAGTATTGATCAGTGTGGGTTTTGGTGTGAGTCTGTGGGATCGGAGCCGAGGGACGGGGTGACTGCCTGTCTGTGTTGAATGCATGGCTGCTTCCATGTCTGTGTGTCTGGCAGAGCGTCCCACAGGCAAGAAGCTACTCTGAAACAAACAGGTAAAATACTAATTACAAAACACCAGCGGCCATTTTTGTTCTGAAGCAATACATGCTGCACACATTGGTGCTGCCACACATTACTACTAAAAATTATAATAATTAAAAATAATAGCCAACAACAAACACACAACAATAAACAACAACAAATAACTATAACAGTAAAGAACGGTAAACAACAATAAGCAAAAACAATAAAAAAAACAAACATTCAACAATAAACAACAATAATAAACAACATTAAACAACAAACAATAATACAATAAACAACAATAAATAGAGTGGATTTCTGAACCCCTGAAAATGTTTACAGAACATTTGTGCAAAACTCTGTCATGACATCTCACCAAATTTCTGCTTCCATAAAATCTTTCAGAAATGTCTCTAGGGCTGACGGCTTTCTGTCACCATTCTTCAGAGCATACTGATGTCACAGAGTGAACTCAGGCTCCCAGCCATCGATTTTCAGAATTTTGTGAAAAATTTCAGACCTCAGGGCACACCATCTCTCTCTCTATTTATATTATGGCAAACAATTAAGTGAATCATATACCTGCAGATTGTCAATATATACTAATGTTTTTTTTTATTTATAAAAAAAAAACTATAATGGTATTAATGACTTTGATATTGCCTAATACTAAAAAAGTAAAAGACAACTTGGAGGTAGATCCTTTGAACTGTCTTCTGTATGGTAAGAGGCTCGAACAGGAAAGACTGCTAAAGACTTGATCAAGTCTTTGACTCCTGAACTGATTGATGGTTTAACTCAACTGGACTTCTACTCGGATCAATATTAATATATGGATATTTTTGGACTATCTGATCATCAATCTCTTGAAGTCTGTATTCAATTATTGAACCAGTTAATTAATTGGTAACAGATATTTTTATTTTTATTGAAAATAACTTCTCAAACTTGAATACAAATCACTTTTTGCATAATTTCTCTGTTTCATGCATTTTAAATGTAACCATAATCCTTCCTGGGCCATACCATTAAATGAGTGGTGTCCAAAGTCAGTCCTCAAGGGCCGGGATCCTGCATGTTTTAGTTCTCTCCCTGGTGGTATTAATAACATCCTCAGCAAGTCAATGTTCTCCTTAGGCCCTCTAATGAGACATCATTTGATGCAGGTGTGTAAAACCAGGGAGAGTACTAAAACATGCAGGATGCCGGCCCTCGAGGACCGACTTTGGACACCCCTGCATTAGATCATCTGACAATAGCCTATTAGTCCTAAGTGCTAATCACTATACTTTAATATTAGCATCTGCATGATATATACTACAGTTTGTGTGTATTCTTTTTTTTATTTCACATTTTGCACTACTTTATGGAGATGTATCAACTTTGTGGTTGTAAAGTCACAAAATATGGAAAAAAGCATCTACTCCCTTTCCAAATGCCTGAACACACCTGCTCCTTATTACCATAACATTAAACCACAAGAACAGAGGAAAGAACTGTTATGGTGTCCATAAAGGTCAGTAAAATTAGTTCGCAATCAGCCATTTTGCTCCCAGAATATATATGTCATGGTTTAATGAGTCGGTCAGCCATTTTGGCTCTAGGAGACATGACTTAATCAGTCAATTAGAGTTGCAGTTGATTAATATGCCTGGGCTGGGAGCAGCGTCAGCCAGGAGAGAAATGGACCAGCGAATGAATAATCACCACGTGATGCTAGAGGGTTGCTCTGTGAGCTACAATCATTTAAGACTTAAGGGAAAATGATCTCAGATTTTTAGCCATAGTTCTCTCTCCAGCTTTTCAAGATCACCCATTGGCAGCTTGTCTGAATAAGATGAGACTAAAGAGGTTTCAGTGACAGCCATTTGTCTGTGGAACAGTAAGAAAACCCAAAGGACTGCAGGGGACAGAGTCATGAATAAACCTGGCTGCTGAACGTCCCTTATATTCTCTTGTATTATATTTAAAAGGCTGCCGTTCAAAAAAAATCTGATTTTACTTTATCTTGAGTATTTCTTATCAGCAAGAGGCCAATTTGGTTGTTTTTTTTTTTTTGCAATCGATTCACCTTTATTACATTCTCTCTAAAACGAAAAGACTTTGGTAGCCATCTGTCAACCTCTATCGCAAACTGTC